TAAATTAAATATGAAACTTTAGACTCACAAAAATAGGATAGATGGTAGATTATTTTTTTTTATTTTGCCCAATACAAATAGACTAGATATTGTAACTAATTCTTGCTTGATAACTGTTTTTTTTTTTTTTTTGGTTTTTCGAGACAGGGTTTCTCTGTGTAGCTTTGCGCCTTTCCTGGAGCTCGCTTTGGAGACCAGGCTGGCCTCGAACTCACAGAGATCTGCCTGGCTCTGCCTCCCGAGTGCTGGGATTAAAGGCGTGCGCCACCACCGCCCGGCTTGATAACTGTTTTGTTATACAAAATTTTACTATGTTAAAGTTAAAACTTTCCTTTTTGATTAGACAGAAAAGGTGAAGTGCTGTGGGATGTCTTTCTGTATGCTGTGAATATATGTTGTTTCCATTGGTTAATAAATAAACTGCTTTGGCCTATGGCAAGGCAGCTTAGAGGCAGGTGGGAAATCCAAGGAGAGAGACAGGAAAGAGAAAGGTGGAATCTAGAGAGGTGCCAGCCTGCCGCCAAAGGAACAAAATGCCAGCAGATTGGTAAAGCCATGGAACATGTGACAAAATATAGATTAATTTAAGATATAAGAACTATATATCAAGAGGCCTTCCATAGGCCATACAGTTTGTAAATAATATTAAGCCTGCAGGCCTGCAGGGCTGGGTGGGACCAGAGAGAAAACTTCCAGTTATACTTGTCTGCTGGCATCATGTTGCTCCTTGGGTGGCAGGCTGGCATCTTCTCTTCTGGCCTGTCTCTATCCTCTATCTCTGCTTGAATTTCCCACCTGCCTTTAAGCTGCCTTGCCATAGGCCAAAGCAGCTTATTTATTAACCAATGGAAACAACATATATTCACAGCATACAGAAAGACATCCCACAGCATTATGTGTTTTTTTTTTCTTTTAGTTTGTTTATATGGTAGAGATTACATTGACAGATTTTTGTATGTTAATCATCCTGCATCTCTGAGATGAAGCCTGCTTGATCATGGTGGATGATCTTTTGGATTGTTCTTAGATTCTGTTTGTCAAAATTTTATTGAGTATTTTAACATTTATGTTCATAAGGGAAACTGGTCTGTAATTCTCTTTCTTTGTTGAGTGTTTATGTGTTTTAGGCATCAGGGTAACTGTGGTTTCATAAAACGAATTTGGCAATATGCCTTCTGTTTCTATTTTGTGGAATAATTTGAAGAATATTGGTGTTAACCCTTCTTTGAAAGTCTGCTAGAAATTCTGCACTAAATCTCTCTGGCCCTGTGCTTTATTTTGGTTGTGCTTTTAATGACTGCTTCTATTTCACTAGGGTTTACAGGTCTATTTAAATTGTTGATCTGACCTTGATTTAGCTTTGGTAAGTGGTATCTATTGAGGAAATTATCCATTTCTTTTACATTTTCCAATTTGGTGGAGTACATGTATTTAAAGTATGACCTAATGATTCTTTGAATTTTCTTAGTGTCTGTTGTTATGTCCCCTTTTCATTTCTGATTTTATCAATTTAGATGTTCACTCTCTGTCTTTTAGTTAGTTTTGTTAAGGGTTTGTCTACTTAGTTGATTTTCTCAAAGAACAAACTCTTTGTTCCATTGATTCTTTGCCTTGTTCTCTGTGTTTCCATTTCATTGATTTCAGCCTTCAGTTTGATTATTTCCTGCCATTTACTCTTTTGGGCATGGTTACTTCTCTTTGTTCTAGAGCTTTCAGGTGTGCTGTTAAGTTTGTAGTATGAAATGTCTCAATTTCTTTTATGTAGACACTTAGTACTATGGACTTTCCTCTCAACACTGCTTTCATTGTTTCCAATAAATTGGTTATGCTGTGTATTCATTTCATGGAATCCTAGAAATCCTTTAATTTCCTTCTTGATTTCTATCTTGACCAAGTTTTCATTCAGTAGAGAGTTGCTCAGTTTCCATTAGTTTGTAAGCTTTCTGTTGATTCTGTGTTGTTGATGTCCAGCTTTAATCTGTGGTGGTCTGATACAATGCAAGGAGTAATTTTAATATTCTTGTATCTATTGACACTTAATTTGTGTCTAAGTATGGGGTCAATTTTGGAGAATGTTTCTTGAAGTGATGAAAAGAAAGTATATTTTTTTGTGTTTTTGTGGAATGTTCTTCAGATGTCTGTTATGTTGATTCAGTTTATAATGTCATCTAGCTCCAGCATTTCTCTGTTTAGTTTTGTCTGGTAGCCTGACCATTGGTGAGAGTGGAGTACTGAAGTCTCTCACTATCATTATGTGAGGGTCAATGTGTGATTGAAGCTGTAGTCATGTTTCTTTTACAAAAGTGGGTGCCCTGTTTAGTGCACAGATGCTAAAAAATTCAAATTCATCTTGTTGGATTTTTCCTTTGATGATTATGTATTGTCCTTCCCCATGTCTTTTGATTCATTTTGGTATGAAGTCTATTTTGTTAGGTTTTAAAATGGCTACTCCAGGTTGTTTTTTAAGTCCATTTGCTTGTAATATCTTTATCCAACCCTCTACACTGAGGTAACATCTCTCCTTGATGTTGAGGTGTATTTATTGGATGAGGCAGAAGGATGGATTCTATTTTGTCACCCATTCTGTTAATCTGTGTCATTTTATTGGGGAATTGAAGCCATTGATATTGAGAGATATCAATGATCAATGGTTGTTAATTTCTATTATCTTAGGTTTGGTGTTTTCATAGTATTCCATATTTCATGGAGCGGGAGATCCCAGCTGAATCAAGAACAGAGAGGGAGAACAAGGAATAAGAGACCATGATAAATGAAGACCACATGGGAATAGGAAGAAGCACAGTGCTAGAGAGGTCCCCAGAGGTCCACAAAGATACCTCCATAAAATAGACTACTGGCAATGGTTGAGAGAAAGCCCGAACTGACCTACTCTGGTGATAGGCTGGCCAAACACCCTAACTGTTATGCTAGAAATCTCATCCGATGACTGAGGGAAGCAGATGCAAAGATCCATGGCCAGGCCCCAGGTGGAGCTCTGGGAGTTCAATTGGCAAGAAAGAGGAGGGTTTGTATGAGTGAGAATTGTTGAGACCAAAATTGGAAAAAGCACAGGGACAAATAGCCAAACTAATGGAAACACATGAACTATGGACCAATAGCTGAGGAGCCCCCAACTGGATCAGGCCCTCTGGATAAGTGAGACAGTTGATTAGCTTGAACTGTTTGGGAGGCACCCAGGCAGTGGGACCAGGACCTGTCCTTAGTGCATGAGTTGGCTCTTTGGAACCTGGGGCTTATGGAAGGACACTTTACTCAGCCTGGGAGGAGGGGACTGGACCTGCCTGGACTGAATCTACAAGGTTAAAATGAATTCCCCAATGGAGTCTTTGCTCTGGAGGAGATGAGAATGGGGGGTGGGCTGGGGGGAAGGTGGGGGGGGCAGGGAAGGGGGAGGACAGGGGAATCTGTGGCTGATATGTAAAATTAAATTAAATTATAAAATAAAAAAAGAAAATACACAGGATAAAAAAAGAAGTTTTTAATTTAACATTTCCTTTGACTGATGCATTTATTTCTTCTATTGTATCTTAAATGCCTGAGATTCCTTTTCATCTCTTGTATTCTATTGGTGAAGCTTGCCTCTGTATTTCTTGTTCATTTACTTAGACTTCCCATTTTTAGAATTCCCTCATTTGTGTTTTCTTTATTGCTCTATTTCCATTTTCAGTTCTTGAACAGTTTAATTTGTTTACTTAAACTTGTTCATTTTTTTCTTGGCTGTATTTATTCATCTCCTCAATTGTTTGTTTATGTTTCCTGGCTTTCTTTGAGGGACTCATTTATTTACTCCAATTGATTGTTTTTGTTTTCCCGAATTTCTTTAAGGGATTTATTCATTTCCTCTAAACACCTCTATCATCTTCACATATTGGTTTAAGGTTTTTTTCTTGTGCTCTAGCTATGCTGGAATAATCAGGGTCTGCTTTGGTAGAACAACTGGGCTTCAGTGGAGACATTGTCCTGGCTGTTATTGATTGTGTTCTTAAACTAAAGTCTAGGCATCTGGGTTTGTGGAGATTATAGGTCTAGGTGCTAATTTCTAGGTTTATCTTGGTTGGCTGGGTGTTTTGTACCTTCATTTCTGCTTCTACTCCAGATTTTCAGAGTGTGTTGGTTCTTTCCCCAGCCTGCTCATCAGCTGTACTCATTGGAATGTTTACTGACGTTGGAGGCTGTGGGGAGAGGAGGCCGGAAAGAGTTGGTCTGTTGCAGTGCTAGACATGACCCTGAGTATTGGTTCTGGGTAACAGTGAGAGTGGGGTAGGCCCATGGGCACCCTACCTGGTCTGCTGGCAGGTGTGGCCTATGGTTTAGTTGGGGTATGGGATATAGCCAAGAGGCAGAGAGGGAAAAGTGGCGATGGATGGTCTGTGGGATCCACAGGAGGTGTGTGTAGCTAGAGTTTTCCTGTCTGGCCAACAGTCAGGGCAAATCTCTCTCACCCGCCAGTCCCAAGCCGCTCAAACCCGATCAAGTAAACACAGAGATTTATATTGGTTACAAACTGTATGGCCATGGCAGGCTTCTTGCTAACTGTTCTTACAGCTTAAATTAATCCATTTTTATAAATCTATACCTTGCCACGTGGCTTGTGGCTTACCGGTACTTTACATCTTCCTTATCCTGATGGCGGCTGGCAGTGTCTCCTCACTCTCAGCCTTTTACTTCCCAGCTCTATTCTCCTCCTTGTCCCGCCTATACTTCCTGCCTGGCCACGGGCCAATCAGTGATTTATTTATTGACCAATCAGCAACACATTTGACATACAGACCATCCCACAGTAGGTGTGGATGGGGGTTGTGGGGAGAAAAAGGGAGAAGCTGCAGCTGGTGTTCTGCTGCAGCACTAGGTAATTGGTTCTGGAGCAATAGAAAGAATGGAGAAGGTCCATGGGTAGCCTACCTAGTCTTTTGGTAGGCATGGCCTCTCAAACACTGACATCTTTTGCTCCACTCTTAATTCCTTTTTTTATTTTTCAGTTTTCAAAAGTCTATGGTCCCATGTTCACTCTGTACTTGGGCAGGAAGCCTGCTGTGGTGTTGTATGGATATGAAGTTGTGAAAGAAGCCTTGATTGATCATGGGGAAGAGTTCGCTGGAAGAGGAACCTTTCCAGTGTTTGATAAGATTGCTAAAGGCCATGGTAAGTGTCCTTGTGCCTACATGTCCATACATCTTCATGTCTGTGCACCTATTTGTCCATGTATATATATTGGGATGTGGTCATAGGGAATTTGAGGATGGAATGTAATCTTGAAAACTTGTTCAGACCCAGCTTGGCTTTCTATGCGGCAACTACCCATTAGCCCATCTTCCTTACTTGGTATGTCCCTACTCATTTCTGCTCTTTCTTTTAGGCATTGTTTTCAGCAATGGAAGGATCTGGAAAGAGATGAGGCGCTTCTCACTCATGACTCTGCGGAACTTTGGAATGGGAAAGAGGAGCATTGAGGACCGTGTTCAAGAGGAAGCTCGCTGTCTTGTGGAGGAATTGAGGAAAACCAATGGTGAGTGTTACACATCATAGACTTCTGTCTTGTTATTAGTTCCTTGAGAAGTTTTGAGGGTGGCCAGAGCTTTCAGAGCTTTCATTCTGTGTTCTGGTTCAGTCTTCATATGGAAAGTGTGATTTGTAGTTAAAAAAAAAAAAAGGAGAGTTTTTGTATCTGTGACTTTTGTTTTATGGTGGGATTCTATCTGTTGTAGAGGATCTAAGCCATCATTTAATCTAGATCCTTTCCAACTGTTTTGTTTTCAAAAAAAAATGACGATATGAATTTTGGTTTTAAGCTCATTTTTCTGATGATTTAAGGGACAATAATTTCCCTCAGCATAAATATTAATTTCACTAGCAAATACTTGGTCTGTGAATTTGATGGCAATCACTGTATCACACTTGTATAGAAAAGTAACTAGATGGTATAATTGTCTTTAATTGGACTATGTTGTGCAACTGACATATCTCAGGTCCATGCACAAAGTTCTGGTGGATGTTGCAGTGTAAACAAAAAAGATTTGCTATATCTTAGTAAAGATTTATCAGTTCATTCTCTTCTAAAAGCACAGCATAATTTATACAAGACAGAATGAATTATTTCTAATCTTTTATTCTATTGATTTATATTTTTGAATAAATATATGTTATTACATGATTCTACAAAATTAATGTTATGTTTTCAGTGATACATACAACTAGCCTTCACTATTGGCTACATCTTCATTTATTTATCTCATCTCCCGCTGTTTGTTGTATTTGGGGTAATATATTTACGACAATAGTTGTCTTCTTTCACTCTCAAGTTTACAAACACTTTAAACACTTCTCACAATGAAACATAACCTTGTTTAAATGCCATCTTTCAAATTAAGTGAAAGAAGAGGAAAAAAGCCAGATTTCTTCTCTGAGTCACACACACATGCCCAGTCTCACATATACTCCTAGCCACTTACCCGTACCCATGAGCATAAGACACTTCTTAAATAAACTCCTTCCTCCTTTGACATAATAAAATATGTATTGATATAGCATTTCCATGAATGTTATGGTGTTTAAAAGCATGTGACATTTAAACAACTAACAATTCAATTTCTTATTGTCAATATCCTAGTTTTTATCCAAAGAACTTTTGATTCAAGTTATTTTTACTTTAGGGTCTATGGATTTTAGTTTTGTGTACACCTTCTGTATGAAGTGTAATCATTTGATTACAGAGACCTCCTCAAAGAATACAGAAATGGTAAAATGTAAGGATTTTAAGGGATGATGGACAACATGTTAGTTACTTCACCTGTTGCTATAATAAAATACCTGACAAAAGCCACTGAAGGGAAGAAGAGATTATCTGGTATTCTCCTTTCTGGTTTTAATCTATCGGGATGGGATGTCACAGAAGGGGAGCCTGAATCAGTGAGGTGTCCTGGTCACGCTGTCAGCGCAGTGAAGGCTGGAGGATAAGATGCTCCTGCTTGCCCAGCTTCCTTCCAAGTATGTGGTCTAGCAGCCTAGTCTAGGGAATGGTGCCTCCCTCAATTAGGATGGATACTCTCATCTCCCTGACACGTTCACAAGCCACTATCCCTGGTGATGCTGACGAGCTGACAATCAATATTAATCATCACAGGCATTTTCTTCCTTTTAAGTCAGAAAATCAGAGGGAGTTTACACATAGAATTGAGAATTAAAAACTTTATCTATTCCCTACATCTGTTTGCTTTCTTTTGGGGGCATATTTCAAACAAAGGTTCTCATCTTAATTTTACCCTAAGAAATCTATTTTATAATTAATGTTTATTTATACAATTTTCATTTCACATGACATAGTTGTGTTTCCTTTTCATGTTAGTTTTCTGAATGCATGAACTTAACACAATCTCTCTGTTTATTATACTCTACTGGCTAAAGACATGAGCCTTTCAACTCCCATGTATAAGTTTTCCTAAGTTCCTGTTTTTCTTTCCCTTTCCTCTTTTTTGGGAGAGATTCATTTCCCCTTCATTTTTATTAGTTCTTTGAGAAGTTTGTACAGTGTATTTTGATCGTATTCACACCCTCACCTCTTCCCAGATCCACCTGCCTTCCATCCCCATGCATCTTTGTATCATATTGTTTAGAGGCTTCAAAAACAGAGTTGAATCCTCCCCAGAAATCTTGAATTGCTGAAGATTTAAAAAATCCCATTACCCCCTTTCCAAACTGCAGACCCCTGGGGTGACAGACAAATCAATAAAGGTATGAGATGAAAACTGAGTATACTCAATTTCATAAATTGGATAGATGACTAGATTACTGAAATCATATTAAACATAAAAATGATGCACAGATATAATGCATATTGTTATGTCTACCAGGCCATTTGTGGGTAAATCTTGCTTAAATTGTCATAAGCTCTTTTACTTGTTAAGAGATAGTGTTTTACACATATATATTTCAGTGGCATTTTACAATTGTTCCCAACTCTTCAGGCTCACCCTGTGATCCCACCTTCATCCTGGGCTGTGCTCCATGCAATGTCATCTGCTCCATTGTTTTCCAGAATCGTTTTGATTATAAAGATCAGGAATTTCTTACCTTCATGAACATTTTAAATGAAAATGTAGAGATTCTGAGTTCCCCTTGGATACAGGTGAGTTCAAGCTTTTTCCTTCAAAACAAAACAAAACAAAACAAAACCCAAACCCAACACCCCCCGAAACACCTAGAGGTATGTGTTCCCCAAAGTTCCAAAAATTCTTTAAAAAATGAATGGTTAACTGTGGGCTATTAGAACTCTGTTCATTGACTTTCCATTAAACCTCAAATCACTTTCTCTAAAAATCATCGGGTCAATGCTCAGAGATACCTCCATAACTCAGTGGATATCTGTTTCATTTTTTTTTTAAGGTTCTTTAATATTTACAGGATGTTAGTTCAAACACAGAGATGGGTAAGGAATGGCTGTTGTGGAGGGCTAGAATTAGCCCAAGATAAGGTAATTACCCTCTGGGCTGCAATATTCCAATCCTTCCACAGTACTGAAATTCTAATCAATCCATTAGTCTCTGCAGACACAACTCCTTTTCTGGAATTTTCATTCACAGAATATATATATATATATATTCCTGCTGATATTAGCCACATTGCTCCTCAGGGTTTTGAATGTTCTTACCAAAGTTCCCCATGATTTATTAAACTTAGTACATGTCAGATAAAGCCCTAAGTTTACTTAGTAAACTTTCAGAAGGAAATAAGTGGTACTTCTTATTTTACTGGCATGAGGACCAGTAACATAAAAGGAAGATGCTGTGCTGTTTAGGTGGTGGAACTGAATCCTTAAAAATTAAATATAGGGAAAATTCTGCATTTGGCTTAGGGGAGCATAACTTGGAGATACCTAGGGTCAGCAACCTAGGATAGTCATAGCTGAGCAGTCCATTCGTAGTATTTCTCCTGTAATTACAGTAAAGACTATACCTTGGGTAGAGTCTTCTGCGATGTCACTGCACCAAAGGATCTGCCTCTAAACTCATTTGCTTGAGCTATTGGTAGGGAGGCTCCTTATTACCCCAGGTTCTCCCTAGACCTGCTTATAAAATAGTTTCTTCTAGTCCAGAGTAAATGACCAAAAAGATGTTCTCATCAGTGTTGGGAACTATACTAACTTTGAGAATTGAAGTAATAGCAGCATTGACATAATGCACAGATCATTGGGAGCTGTGTGATAGATTGCCACTGTACACTGCAAAACCTCCATATCATTAGTATGTGCCAGTAGTCTAATGAGATTAAAAATGCTAGAGATCAGTTGATCCCAAATGATACTTGTATGACTAGCTTCTATGCTTATGCCCAACATTTGTAAGTACTTTACCATTCCTACAGATCCCAGGTGTTTACTGTGAAGTTCATAGATTTCTTCAAATAAATATCAGAATTGGGATGTGGGAGATGAATGCTTCTTTTTGCATTTTCATGTTAATATTATTGTTAGTATTTTTGTTCATACCTTATTTTTTTTTTATTTATTTTGCAATACAATTCAGTTCTACATATCAGCCACGGATTCCCTTGTTCTCCCCCCTCCCGTCCCCCTCACCTTCCCCCCAACCTCCCCCCCCATTCCCATCTCCTCCAGGGCAAAGCCTTCCCCACAGACTGTGTTTCATTTTTGAAATCTGTTAGCAACAAGGCTTATGCTCCATTCAGTACTTTAGAGATCTTGCCATCAAAACACTTAGAAATACAATTTGCAATGAGACTATTTTCTTCATTTGGGGACAGTGTTTGGAATCATTGAATCTACCAGCATTCCTGGAGTGTGGCAGTGATATTTAATAAACAGTTGACATCCTAAGTAGCAATATATCTGTCATGGGAGTGACAAATGAGTGGGGTCTGGATCCCATCAAATTTTTCCCTGTGCGGAGCTGAACTATACAATTTGTCTAATGATGTTGAAAAAATCACCAGCTGGTCTGCCCGGGTTCACAGCTGTACTTCAAGAATTCTTAAGAATCTCACTGCTACAATTCTTATTCTGTATCTGAGAGTGGCTGACAGAAACTAAGTAACAAGGATGATATCTATGCTTTCAATCAGGATACCCCAAGTCCCTTCATCTCTGTTGCAGTCTACACAATGTAGATCACATCATTTCATGCCATTTTATATTCAAGGTTGTATTGAAGAGGTTGTGTAGAAAATGAATGAGCTGATGTAATATTCATATATGGAATAACAATTGTGTGAGAATTTAAGCAGTGGTTATCATGTTTGAACTCGTTCATTATGTTCTTGTGTTCACATCTCTACAAGCAAAGAGGATTTCTATATACACTATAAAAATCACTCATCAAGATGAATGACATATATTATTTATTTTTGTATTTATTCTTTTTGGTAAAGGTCCACTATAAGGTATATATATATCTTGTGTTTTAAACTTTTATTATTTTTCTTTTGTAGATTTGTAATAATTTTCCTGCTGTGATTGATTATCTACCAGGAAGTCACAGAAAATTACTGAAAAATTTCACTTTTTCGAAACATTATTTTTTGGCAAAATTAACAGAGCACCAAAAATCACTGGATATTGACAATCCTCGGGACTTTATTGATTGCTTCCTGATCAAAATGGAGCAGGTAAATTGTTAATAAAACTCAATTCAGTTATTTGATTGTTTGAGTATAATTTGTTCCATGAATAGTCTGTTTTACAGGCATATTTAAATGGTTCAGACCAGTAATGTTTGACAGCCACTTTGTCTGCCTAATGTATACATGAATTTGCAGTAAGCATCTCAGAAAATATAAAGTTAAGTAGTCTGAATATATTAACCCTAGTTTTATTAGACAAAAATAATCTAGCTGAAAAGTCATATAATACAATGGGCTCATGGGATGCAAATATGTCCAAAACTCTCAGAAAAAAAATGTCATGACATGATATAAAGATGAATGCTGTCTTTGCAGACTATGTATGGAAACTTAGAAAAGCAGCTCAAGTTAGCCAGACTTCCTATAGCGTCTGTAGATTGAACTAAATCTTAAAATATTAGCTGTGGACAGGTGAGAGAATTTCAGATGAATTATAAGGTGTAGGTTGTGGTGTGAGAAGGGAATAATTAGTGCCAAGGATGAAAGGAGCCTTAACTGAGTGTAGCTTCAAGTGGATTGACATGGACATGGAATTAAATATGGATGTCTGTCAGGCACCTATGGGAATAAATGCTTCTGTCATGGCTCCATTTATTGAAAGCCACTTATTTTCATTGGATATTGTTAGCACTCATCATAATAAGGTGTTTGTTTGTTTTGTGAGTTCTCCATTCTGCTTCACTGAACTTATGCTATCTGAGTCCTGGATTTACTATCCTTATTCATGCAGTATACTTCCCTCATGAAAGTCAGGGACCTTCCATCTTTCCTTACCACTTTTACAATTGAGACCTTCATCTTCGCGACTAGCCCTCATATAACATGCTGTCTGCCTTTTCTCCTCCTTATGTGTGTTTTGAGTAAAACATTTTAAAAAAGAAAATGGACATCAATTCTTTTGTTTATGTCTCTGGGAAGATGGCACACTGCATAGCTCACTGCCTGAGGAGTCTCATGAAAGATCTTTTTCCAGACTAGAAAACTGGGTGTGGGCAGTGAAGATGGATCTGGGGGGTCTACATGTCTCTTGAACACATGTCAGTTTCTTCTCCTGATGCACTTTCCAGGGTCTGTCAGGTTAAATTCCTCACATGTAAGTCATTTTATTCACTGTAATAAGTATACTGACAAATAATTTTCTGACTAACACAGTCAAACTATTCCTAGGAGAAGCACAACCCAAAGACGGTGTTTACTTCTGAAAACTTGATCATCTCAGCAGGTGACCTGTTTGCTGCTGGGACAGAGACAACAAGCACAACACTGAGGTACTCTCTGCTACTCCTGCTCAAGTACCCAGAAGTCACAGGTAAGGACACAGGTGGGAAGCTAATGAGTTTCAGAAAGGAATGGGAATACAACCCAGGAATCCTTGATTTTGTTTGTCTCATGAAAGCCTGAGGCTTTATTTCATTTAACATTCTGTGCCCCTACAATCTGCTACATTTATCAGGACTGAAGTGAGATGTCTTAGCCCATAACAGAGGAAGATGCTTCATAGAAGTGAAGATGGAAGGCAGGAGGAAAGATCAATAAAGTATTGTTCTAGTGCCTTGATTTCATGAGAAGTGATTTTGTCCACATAAACTTTTTAAAATGCAAATTAGCCTGCAAACCTCATGATGTCATTGTTTTTCTCTGTTGAGTAGTAGTCCATTGTGTATATGTACCACATTTTATTTATCCATTCTTCAGTTGAAGGGCATCTAAATTGTTTCCAGGTTCTGGCTTTTACAAACAATGCTGATATGAACATGGCTGAGCAAGTGCCCTTGTGGTATGATTGAGCATTCCTTGGGTGTATGCCCAAGAGTGGTATAGCTGGGTCTTGTGGAAGATTGATTCCCAATTTTCTGAGAAAGCACCATATTGATTTCCAAAGTGGTTGTACTAGCTTGTATTCCCACCAGCAGTGGAGGAGAGTTCCCCTAGTTCCACATCCTCTTCAGCTCCAGGAGTCCAATTGGCAAAAAAGAGGAGGGTTTGTATGAGTGAGAATTGTTGAGACCAAGATTGGAAAAAGCACAGGGACAAATAGCCAAATGAATGGAAACACATGAACTATGAACCAATAGCTGAGGAGCCCACAACTTGATCAGGCCCTCTGGATAAGTGAGACAGTTGATTAGCTTGAACTGTTTGGGAGGCATGCAGGCAGTGGGAATGGGACCTGTCCTCAGTGCATGAGCTGGCTGTTTGGAACCTGGGGCTTATACAGGGACATTTAGCTCAGCCTGGGAGGAGGGGACTAGACCTGCCTGAACTGAATCTACCAAGTTGAACTCAATCCCCAGGGGAGTCTTTGCCCTGGAGTAGATGGGAATGTGGGGTAGGATGGGGGGAAGGCAGGGGGGAGGACAAGGGAATCCATGGCTGATATGTAAAATTAAATTAAATTATAAAATAAAAAAGTACAACATAAAAAATGCAAATTAGCTTAAATTGGAAAAAGCCATATTGAATAGAAGATATATTCTTGAGGATAATTTTCCTTATTCTGACAATTCTTTTGTTGGAATAGAAACTCTCCTTACAGAAAAAGAAATACCAATTCTAAAATTTAGTGAGACATAATCCTGGAAATTATTCCAAAAGCTCAGATCTGTAAAAAAGACATTCCCATTTGGGCAGAATTTCTAAAGGAATTTCATTTATTATTTTAGAAATAAGTTTCCATACAATACTATTTAACATAGGATGGATTATTGGGGGAGTGTTCTCATTTTATCTTAAATTAAAAATATTCTATGTATATGAAAGTTTTGCCTGCATTTATGTGTGTGTACCATGTGCATGCTTGATGCCCACAGAGATCAGAAGAGGACATCAGATATCTAGAATTGAAATTTACAGGTGGTTATAAGCCACCTTTTGAATGCTGGTAATTGAACCCAGGTCCTCCAGAAATCTAGAGAACCCAGGTCCTATAGGAATCCAGAGAACTCAAGGGGAAGGATGAGACTGTCCGGGATGCTTAGCATTACACCTAGAAAATATCCAGTTCAGAATGGACCAATGGATGATGAAGGTGTGAGGAGAGAACCAAGAACAAAAGGGAAATAAGTGGTTGATAGCCTGAGACTTCCCTGTAATTGGACAAGTGTTGGAAAGACTTTAAAACATCTACCTGAATATTTCAAAATAATTCCAGTAGAAGGAAAAAATGTAAACTGATAAAGAGAAATAGAGTTAAGTCCAAGAAAGCATCAACAATGACAATAGTCATTGTTTTCTTACTAGGGCACAAAGGTTTGAGCTGTGTATAAAGCCAAAGTTGCCCTATGAGGACTGGACTGAGGAATATTTATATTTAATACATCTAGAGAGTATGAAAATATTATTTCTACATGAAGAAGAATTTATTTTCTCCAATGATGGATAAGAAAGAAATAGTCATTACATATAAATATAAACATAAATTTCAGGAGAAATTGTTAGTATGTGGCCGTATTTGGGAAGTAAGAGGGTATTTCATATCTTTGGAAACTATATACAAATATGCACACAATACCATTATAATTTATTTTTCAATGTACTGCATTGTTTTGGTACAAATAATGTTTGATCAATAGTTTTCTTCTGTAACAGTTGATATTCTTGACTTACTGTTCTGTTTATTATTTGTTAGTAATAGTTAATATTGATTTTTAAGTATGCTAAATGATATATAAGGGCTGTGTATTTTGACATTTAGTATATATGATAGAAGTATTTATATCATAGCAACCATCACTTCATTAGCATATATTATGCTTTCATAACACTGCCAGGCACCTAAATCTTGCTACAAGTACCCCTGACTTGTGACTAATGTGCCACTTCCTTTTCTGTCTTTTGTCTACTGTGTTGAACCAGCCAAAGTCCAGGAAGAGATTGACCGTGTGATTGGTAGACACAGAAGTCCCTGCATGCAGGACAGGAGTCACATGCCCTACACTGATGCTGTGTTGCATGAGATTCAGAGATATATTGACCTCCTTCCCACCAGCCTGCCCCATGCAGTGACCTGTGATATTAAATTCAGAAACTATCTCATTCCTAAGGTAAGTTTCCTTTGTCTACACTGCACCTTAATGCTCTTGATCTCAAATCAGTGAGTGAAATAAAATCATAAGCCCAAGATACTGGGTCTTCCAAATTCAGTCTAACAATGTTGAAGATAACATTATAAAAACCTTCAGGGAGATTAAACAAACAAAGCCATATATCGTATATTCCCAATCAGATTGTATTAGAACTCTTGAGAATTTGCAGTGTGATTGGTCCTAATTTACTGTCCCCACAAGATGAGAGAAATACAAACACCTTAAATCTGGAATCAGGGTGGACTTTATGCTATTTCCAGCAAGATTTTAGAACAAGTCTCAGTTTGTGGAATTATAGGTCTTCCAAATTTACATTCCATTTAAAGTCACTCTTGATTGTTTACACTTTCAAATAAAACCGAAAGTTCACATTGTCATTCTCTGAAAAGACTCTTCTAGGATTGTATCAGGATGCTGAGAAGTGTATGGGCACATTTAGGGAATTCACATCTTGACCCACTAAGCCTTTCAGTTCATGTACTCAGTTTCAGGGTTGGTTTGTGTATCATTGTCCTCTAGACGTTTGCTTCCATTTATAACTTTAGAAGAAAACTGTACAAAGGATGTCCTATAGGACTCACATATTTTAAGGAGGGTTAGCATATGTTAACTATGGTATTAGTGGATATGCCTACTTCTTCCTGTCTTAAGATGATATTCAAATCTCTCCATTGTAGAGGTTCTGCTCTTTTTGTAATTAATAAAATCTCTGGCATGGTCCATTCACAGCTTATGAATATCCTGCTTAGTGAGTCATCTGATCAGTTTCAATATTTATTCTCAAGTAAACTGATGACCCTGACTGGAATTCTTACAAAACAAGGAAATTTCTAAGTTTGTCATCCTTTAATTTTTTCAAGTAATCCTAAATATAATAATCTCTCATTCATAATATCTCATCTACATTTTAAAATTAAGGCAAATATACTGTGTGTCAGGGAAAAAAACTGAATAATGTTTTATTTTATTTTGGCTGTGTTATTCCAGAAGACATTGTTAATTTTATCAGACATATACATGCAACATTCCTATGAGCAGATACCTCTGGTATTATACATAAAATCTTACATTTGAAGCCACATTCCACATATGCATGAACCAATAGCAGCAGTGGTAAAATCGAACAGTAGGTGGTGATAGACACCAGTGTTAAGCTTTTTGATAAATGAATATCCCATTACTTAGAACTTCAAAAGTTATTGGAGGACACTGTATCAAGATCACTGCCACTGGATCCCAACTCATCCCTGTTTGTTACATGATCTGTCTGTCTAGATATGCCTCTGGTCTTGTTTAGACATGATTTCCTTAGAAGCTTTGACTATGCCATGCTCATTATTTCTCTTACCTCTGTACCATTTACATAACTTGACTTGTCTATGCCTCTTGTTTCCAGGGTACCACTGTCATAGCATCATTGACATCTACGTTACACAATGACAAAGAATTCCCCAACCCAGAGAAGTTTGATCCCGGTCACTTTTTGGATGAGAATGGAAAGTTTAAAAAAAGTGACTACTTTTTTCCTTTCTCAACAGGTAATCAAAATGATTTCCTGGTCTTTTGGATCTTAAAATCCAACCCTCCCCCACTTCATCAATGTTCCTTGAGCCTCAGCTGCAGCAGTTGTGCAGTAGATGTATCCACTGGAGCTAGGCACCCAATGATAAATTGTTCTCTGCATTTTTGATCAGTTTTGGTTTTTCTGTAATGGTCTCTCTTTGTTGCTAATATAAATTTCTTTTATGAATATGAGAGCTACATTTGTCTGTGGTATAAAGAAATGTAGATCTATGAGCTCACTAGCCCAGCAAAGTTGGGAAAAGTTTCTAGTATTGAGCAATATTTTCCTTCCTGTTGAGGGGCTTCAAGACTAATTGAACAGCCATTGGTTACCAGGATTTGTGTGCCACTATTGTACTCTTGGGGATATTTTATATTCTGGCCATGACTGTGGATCATGGGTGTCATAACTAGGTCTAGTATATTGGTTGCCTCCCTCCCTTCTGAAATTATGTCTCCTAGAAATGACATGGAAAGAACCACAATACCAGTAGGTATGCTAACATGGAAGGAGTAAATCTCATGAGGTTCTTTCCATAAACAAAGAACAATAGACAACTTAAGAATGCTGAGAGTTGGAGAAATCTTCATCCCCATTACAACCCTCCTAATTAGTTTTATAATACTAATTTGTCAGCTCTGAAATCATATAAAACATACACGAACAAGTAACACTAATGGACTCAGCAGGTTGTATTTTATATCTATATACATAGATATTACATATACATTCTATGATATTTATTTATATATAACTATATGGTACATTTATATGTATCAATATAACGGCAAAAAAATATTTTTAAGGCAACAAGGTAAACTGTAGGTATCCCTTGAACATTACATGTTGGTTTCTCTTGGCATGGTAGATCTGATCACCATTCCTGATGTTCATGCACTGTCTCTGAGATGAAACATTATATCTGCTGAGCCATACTAGTGGTCCTTTAGAGTGTTCACTCATTCTTCCTGATTCATATTGCTAGACCACAGTTCAGTTGGATTGTGTGTCTAGATATATCACTGGGCTATAATTGAAGTCTTCTTAGACAATAAAACAACTTGCCCTCTATGAGGAAGGCAGCTAGCTTTATGGTAGTCTATTCTTTGGTACCAGTTTTTTGTACAAGTTACTTTTCTTGTTCTTGTGAACAAACACTTAACAAGAAGCAACTTAAGGGTTTATTTTGGCTAAAGTTTGAGGGAGTATAGTCTATTATGGAGAAGGAGACATGGAAGTAGGTGGCTGGAGAGAGCAGCTGAGACCACTCACATCCTCACATCTTGGCTGAACATGTAGCAGATAGCAGGCTGGAATTGGTGGAGACTAAACCTGGAAGATCCACCTTCAGTGACTGATGTTCTATTGTGAGGCCCTACCTACTAAAGTTTCCACAACATTGAAAAATAGCATTACCAACTAGATAATGTATTTAAATACAGAAGCCAATGAAGGACATATGTTCCATACACACCAAAAATTCTTTTCTAAGCAACTGTCTCTGGTGGCCACTGCATATCCAGTTATAGCTGAGGACTGTCAATGGGGACTCTGTGATGATGTCAGGTCTTCCAATACCACAAACAATTTAATTTCTACAATTTAGGGCCATTCTCAAGATGGCTGCTGGCTTTAGTACTCTATTTGCTGATTGATATGTGAAGGTTTTCTTTCAATTTTCTCAGGTGAGAAGGATCCTGATTATCTGCTCATTTAAGCTATTTCTTTTTCTATAGGATGGAGAGCCTTCTGCCTCTGCTGTGAGACTTTCTCTTTTTCCTTTTCTTTTTCAATGGGAGTCTCTCCCATTATCCTGGTGTTTGGTTTTAAAGCAGTGGTACTCTGCCTCTTCTGCTATATTCTCTATTCTATGGAGTACACCAGCTCTACTTTTGTGCACCATTAAATCCCAGGGCTCACTATGGCCACTCACCTGCATGAGCAATTAAATGAATGTTCCTTTGTTTTCACCCTGCGGATGAGAAGTCTAGTATTCAGTATTACTATTGCACCTTCTAAAGCTTTGTATCCAAGAATTTTAATACTGTGTTTCCCAATATTAGAAATGATGAAAAATGTGTCCTCTTTTCTCCATTTATTTACCCAACTATCCATCTATCCATCTATCCATCTACCCACCCATTCATCCACCCACCTACCCACTCACCCATCCATCCATCCATGCATCTATCCATCCATCCATCCATCCATCCATCTATCCAGTGTATCAAAGACTGACACAAATTCTCTATTATAGTTGTAACACAGTGCTTGTCTCAGCCAAACACAAGGAGTAATTATACTCAGTTTTTTTAAAAACAAAACAAAACAATTTTTTATTCATTTTACATACGAACCACAGGTCTCCCTTTCATCCCTAATCCCATTCCCCCAACCCCCATCAACTCACCATCCCCTCCATCAAAAGGATTATTTCTCTGGTGGGGGGACAGCAGGTAATGGGATCCAGAAAGCCAGCTCATGCACAAGGGATAGATCCTGATCACACTGCCAGAGGCCTCCACAAACAGACCCCGCTACACAACTATATAGAGGGTCTACTCCAGTCCCATGCAGGTTCCACAGCTGTCAGTCTACTTGCCTGTCACCTGGGAGACCAGGGTTCAATTCCTCAACATGGAGGTTGAGCTACTCAGTTTGTGTGTTTGTTTGTTTGTTTTAATTTGCAGGAAAACGGATTTGTATGGGAGAAGGCCTGGCCCGAATGGAGTTGTTTTTATTCCTGACCACCATTTTACAGAAATTTAATCTGAAATCTCCAGTTGACCCAAAAGACCTCGATATCACTGCAGTTGCCAATGGATTTGTTTCTGTGCCACCCGAGTTCCGGATCTGCTTCATCCCAGTCTGAATGTATGTCCCCTTGAAGACCCCTCCTCCAGGGCACAGCTGACCTCTTCTGTCAGGCATTTTTCTCTGGCCTCCCATCTCACATTGCCTCATCCCCTCAAAGGCCAGAGAATGTCTGTCTTCTACTTGGGGCAATTTTCAGGCTCACTGCACAAACACAGCTACAACTCTCTATGCTGTGCAATGATTTATTGACTTCAGCATTGCTAATTCTTATCTAATCCTGAGTCCTTAATATATTATTACTGTAAAACTGAGAAAATGTGACCCTTCAGCATTACCTAGCCCTGAGTGTTTTAATAAAATCGTTATAATTCTCATCTGTTTTCAAAATTTCCTTTATTTTATCTTTTTTTAAAAAAAAATATGAACTCACATAGGCCAGGCTGTCTCTAAATTTGCCGTTCAGCTGAATGTAACCTAAAATTTTCCTGTCCCATCACCCAAGTTCTGGGATTCCATGTACATACCTGCACAACCTGATCCGGTGTCATGTTTTTGTTCATAAGGCAAGCAGTAATAAATTAATGTCCCAAGATGTTTTTGTTTCTTCATCATACTATGTGCAAAGAAAGTAAGAGTGAGTGGCAGAAAGGCTCTTTAGCTGAGCATCACTAATAATGACTACAAGTTTGGACCTGAGTGAGAAAAATGATGCTGTAACAGGAAATATAGAAAGGACTAGATATAGGGTGGATTCCATACTAAGTGTTATGATTCCTATCCCTGAGTTGGTGATACTCTGAACATAAACACTTGGTATGGTCTTTTAAGTTTATGATTATTACCTAGAATCAAATATACATCCATTCTCTGGATGGAATTCCTGTACTCTATGTATAACCCTTCTCTCCCAAACAAGACCAGAGTTCTTGAAAAGTCTCATCAATTTATTTTTTTTTTAATTTCCACACATTGCTTTTCACCCTTAAGTATGATGGCAACTTGATGCTATGATTGTGAAGTCATTGGCCTTATTGGATCAATGGAAAATACAGAGATGTACACCTAGATATCATTACATTCTTGTCAACATTTTCCTTTCTTTCAATCTTACATCAGTCAGTGACCTTTTAAAGTTTATTTCTCAGAGGAGGCTACCTGCCATTCTCTTTGTTATAACTACAAACACAGTGGATGTCCCAGGATTTAATTATGTTCTGTTTTCTATTATTTGCAGGAAAATGATTTTGTGTGGGAGAGAGCCTGGCTCAATTGGAGTTATTTTTATTTATGACCACAACTTTATAGAATTTTAAACTGAAATCTCCAGTTGACCAAAAGGAACTTGATACCACTCCTCCATGTAAGATATTAGTGCCTATATATATATATATATATGGGCATAGTTACAATTTGTGCCTAGTACATACCATATATACATAGGCATTTATGTAAAACTGAGCTCATGTAGCATGCATCTTGCCATTTGCTATACTTGTACAAAACTGTGTTCTAGGAAAAGCCTCAGGATAACAGAGTGATGGGAAATGACCTAAAATGAGAACAAAGTTTTTAAAATAAAAACTGCAAATTAAACCCAAGCTGTGTACCTTTTACATTTTTTATTGAAAAATAAAAATATCATAGGACAAGTATGGGCAAAGGCATGTGCTGTCCTTGAAATAAAATCAGAGTCAGTGACACCTGAATATGCTATTAAAATTTATCTTCTCTTTTTTTTTTTTTTTTTTTTTTCTGAGACAGGGTTTCTCTGTTTAGCTTTGTGCTTTTCCTGGATCTCACTCAGTAGACCAGGCTGGCCTCGAACTCACAGGGATCTGCCTGGCTCTGCTTCCTGAGTGCTGGGATTAAAGGCGTCCACCACCACCGCCCAGCAATTTACCTTCTCTTACCTCAATGATTCATCTTGTAATATCACTTCTTGTGATTCTGTTTTTTTGGTGTTTTTGTTACTTGACTGATTTCATGAACCTAGGAAGAAAATGTCATTGATATTAGCTCCCATAATTACTGTAATAAAGTAATATAAGCTCACCAACATCAAACAATGATTTTTATTCTGAAGTTCTTGAGTTTAAAATTCCAATATCAATTTACTACATTAAGACCAGCGTGTGGACGATAGTTTCCATCTGGAGGGTCTTCATTAGTTGTTCTTAACCTATCTAGTGCTGTGACCCTTCAATACAGTTCTTCAAGTTGTGATGACCCCTCCATAAAATCATTCTTGCTGCTACTTCATAGCTACTGTTATTACTTATATTGTAAGTATCTGATATACAGATATCTGATATGTGACCCCTGTGAAACGGTCATCCTATTCTAAAGGGGTCATGACACACAGGTTGAGAACCACCTATCTAGAGGAAAACCCACTTCCCTGACAGTTTACTTCTTGTGGCCTTGAATATCCTTGACTTATTCTGTACCATTAAAATGTCTTGTTTGGTGTAGCATAGAATCTACTACTGATTTCTTTTCTTTTAAGAATTTTTCTGATTACACATTATAATCTGTAAAACTTACCTGCATCAAGATCTTTACACAGTCATAAGTTTCTCCTGTTTTATCAGTGCAGTGCCCTCTCAGCATATAAATTAGCATGGGTACAGGGTTACAGGTCCCAAACATTGGGGCAGGGATAGCTTTGATTGGGTCATAATATAATTATGTCACCGACCACTCTGATATTATAATGCCCATTTTACCACTGAAATACAGAGGTGGTTTTTGTTCAGCATTTTGATATATGAAAACTGATTCAGAGAGAAGTAATGGACAAAAAAATTCCAGGAGAAATCAGGCAGAAATTTCCAAGAGTTCTTTTCCAGTAGATCTCCTTACTTTATCTTACAGTACCACCACATGAACCAATTCCTTTTCAAGGGTCTTCTTGGTAGGTATGTAACACGATTTTGCTTAGGTCATTGTTCAAAAAATAGGTTGTCATAACTATGTAAAGAGTATTCTCCAAAGAACCCAGAAATCTATATAATTTTTTGCTTAAGTTTTAACCCATTTTATCTCTGTAGATATGATATATGGCTTTGTATATGTGTTAATTAGGGTTTGTATTGCTGTGAAGAAACACCATGAACATGGAAACTCTTATAAAGAGAACATTTAATTGGGGTGGCTTGCTTACAGTTTCAGAGTTTCAGTCAATTATCATTATAGTGGGGAGCATGACTGTGTGCAGTCCGACATAGTGCTGGAGTAGTAGCTGAGATTCCTGTATCTTGCAGACAACAGGAAGTTGACTGAGAGACTGGGTGGTATCCTGTGATAGAAACATCAAAGCCTGCCCCTATGGTAACACTATTCCTCTACCAAGGTCATACACACTTCAATAAAGCCACACCTTCTAAAAGTGCCACTTCTTGTGAGATTATGGAGGTCAATTACATTCAAACTGCCACATTCCACTCTCTGGCCCCCGTAAGCTTGTATCATTATCATAATGCAAAATTCATTTAATCCAACTTCAAAAGTCCCCATATCTATCCAAGTTCTAAGACATTTTAATGTCCAGAGTACAAAATCTCTTCTGAGATCCATGTATTCTCTTAACTGTAATCTCCTTTAAAATCAAAATAGAAAAGTAGATCTCATACTTCCAATATACAATGGCACAGGATATACATTACCATTTCAAAGCACAGAGAAGAGAGCATAGTGAGGAAATACTAGAACAAAGCAAGAGTGAAAGCCAGCTGTGCATGCCACAAACTTTGCTTCTCCATTTCTTTGTCAAAACACTCTTCAGATCTCCAAGTCCATTCAGCTTTGTTGACTGCAATACACTTCCTTCTCTTGGGCTGGTTCCATTCCCAGTTAACTGCTCTCCTCAGCAGATATCCCACAGCTCTTGCATTTCTAATATCTTGGAGTCTGCAAGGCAATCCAGGCTTCAATTTCACAGCTTCACACAATGGCCTCTCTAGGCCTCTCTTCTGGAATACCCCTGACACATGCCTGGCCTCAGCAGCTTTCCTTATTGGCAAATTCCATAGCCTCTTTCTTCTATCCTTAATCCGAGAGCTACATGACTGAATCTGCCAAGTTCTCCTGCTTACTGGGGCTGGAACAGGGCCCCCTTGTTCAACTATGTCTTTACCAGCTATCTATACTTTGCTGCCTAAACTTGGCTGTCCTGAAACTGGATCTTTAGACCAGGATGGACTCAAACTTAGAGATTCATAGCCTCTGTCTTCTCAAAGCTGTGATTAAAGGTGTGTCTCACCATACCTGGCCTTAAAATTTCTTTAGTTTCTTTCCACAAGTTGGAAACTTAGCTGGGTGGGATGTTGTCCTGAGGTCATCAATCCCTTTATTACATTTCCTAATCTATTTATCTCCTTAAGCACAGGACTTAGTTCCATTCCACTCCTTGGTGCTTGTTCTCCTCAAAATTTATATTTTGTAATTTATCCTGCTCAGCTTGCACTTTTTCATCATAAATCTTCATTAGAGTTACCACTAATAACCACAGGATAGTGTCTATATTAAGGTGTTTTAAGATTTCTTCTGCCAATGGAATTTATCCAAAACTCTTAATGTTAGCCTCTGGTAGACTCTTTGGACAAGGGCAAAAAGCAGCCACTTTCTTTATCAAAATATGATAAGACGAATGTGTAGGCCATCTACTAACATTCTTCTCCTCTGAAAACTCTTGATTCCCACAGTTAATCAAATCACATTTAAAACCATTGTCTTCCATGCTCCTACTAGTATGGCCCATTAAGCAGCACTTCAAGCACTCCACTACTTTCCTAACCCAAACTCCCAAAGTCCATATTACTCCAAATAAAAACATGGTCAGTCCTATCACAGCAATACCCTAATCCCTGGTACCAACTTCTGACTAAGGTTTTCTATTGCTGTGAAGAGACACTATGACCTTGGCAACTTGTATAAAGAAAACATTTAATTGAGTTGACTCACTTACAGTTTCAGAGGTTCAGTCCGTTTATCATCATGACAAGGAACATGGTCGCGGGCAGTCAGACATAGTGCTGGATCAGATGTAGTTTATGT